CCTCCCCTAGACCGTCTCTTAGTCAACACGCGATACGATAATCTTTTCAGCCGTTAATCGCGGATCGATTTTGCACCCCATCTCGAGGGTGGTTGAAGGGGGGCGGAGACAGAGGCTGGTCGAAATTGGCGGCGGTCACGTGTGGTGGGCGGAATGTCACATCGACGGGGGTCGTAAGTAAATCCGACAAGCTTCTTCTTCGGCCTTTTGGAGTGGCGATCTTATCCGCAGAGGGATGACCGACAAGCTGACGCTGCTTGTTTCGTGCACTTTATTGCGCTTCATCCATTCCGTGTAGCGGGGGGTTCGATCCGTTTTATCGAAAGGTTTCGAGAAACTGTCGCTTTTCCACCCTTGTGTAAACGAGGAGGGGAGTTTCTGCGGTTTTTGAGAGGGGTGAGTGAGGATGCCAGGCCTTTGATTGCCCTTTCGAGATTCGTTACTTTCAACGAAATTTCGAATTTTTATTTTTGTGGAACAGCGTCCAAGATTTATCTATTATTATGTGTATATTCTTGAGCAGTCTCTCTTCAATATCTCAGTTTAAATTTTGAGAAAGTTTCGCGGAGACGGAATTATCTGGTTGGAAAAATTAAGAGTCGAACGAGTTAACAGGAATTTCAAAAAAAAAAAAAGAGAGAGAGAAAAGGGAGATAAATGTTATGATTTACCATATGTTTCGATGATCGTTTAATAATAAATTGGAAAAGCGTCAGGAACAAAGGGGTTGTGCGGAATTTAACAGAATTGGATTGGACGCGTCAGGTTTGAACGATACCGAAATTAATTAACGCTCATAGAGTCATTTACAACGGTTAGATGGAATTTTTCGCCGTTTTACTCTCCGGCTAACCGTCGGTTGAATGGGGAGGGGAACGAGGGGAGAGGATGCAGTACAATGCAGTTCGCAGCATCGATAACAATGGTCGATCGTTCGTCGGTTCAGTGTACCGTTCGCGGCAACAATCAATCTTGTCAGATGGCTCGTCTCATTGTCTAATAACAATCATTTACGCTGCTGACGCGATTAATCGGCAGCTTAATAATCCCGCAAACACGACTAAATCGATCCGAAATCATTAACGCCGCATCAACGTTTAAACGTTCATTCATCTCCGATTAAATGAGCCGCTACCGGATACTCTCTAAAGTATTTTATACAAAAATATCTCGCGGATATTTTTTTTATCCCCTGAAAAATATTTAGATTTGAAAGTATTATTTCATCGAGAAGATTTAGAGGAAAAAACGTTTTTTTAATTCAATCGAGTTTCAGAGTTTCGTAAAAAATAATAGATAATGAAAAAAAAAAAAAACGATAGCATTGTAACAAATCAAAATATAAATTTGCCAACGAATTTGTTGAGATCAATATCGAATAATAAAATTTTATTTAAAATATTTATACATATATATATATATATATGTATATTATAATATATACATTACAAAGATTGAAATTAATTATTCTTAATTGAAATAGTAAGGAAAACAATCCGTCGTACGTGTTTCGAAAACAGACTTCGACGAGACTGTGTTTATAAACACGCATTCCCCCTTCTGTCTCTCTTTCCCGTATTTTGCTCGCGCGAAATTATTTCTCGTTCGACTCTCGAGTCGTGTGGTATAATCGAGTGGAGCGGGCGATCAATTTACACGGTGGAAACATTTTCATTTTCGCATCTTTCCTGGCAACACGTGCCGCGATAATATTTCCAGCCTGCAGTACGCTAATGGTCGATCGATTTTCCAATTCTTTTTAATACATAAATCATCGCGTTCACCCATCCCGACAATATATCGGCGCAAAATGGACCCTTTGTCTTCTTTAATTCACCGATGATATTTTCCATTCCCCGCTCGTCCGATCGCCATTGTTTCCACGCAACTATTTACTCGCCCCGTTTCCTCTCTTTATTACGTGGCACAGCCTAATGTAGCACTGCAAGTATAAATACAGGTATAAATAACGTTTTCAACTTTTTTAAATCGCGTTTGAAAAGTTTACCGAAAGTGTATCGATGTATTGATGCGTAGGTAATACGTTTGGAAGATCAAGATAAGCAGAGGAACGAGGCTTGTTTATTAAATTAAATAAGCGATTCGAGTTTGCCTTGTTAAACGAAGCGAGAAGGGAATATACGACAAAGACGTATAATGGCATTTGTGGAAAATTTAATTTGAAAAAATTTATAAAATGCACGCGATATGCATAAAGTAAAATGCGAAAGGATTGAAACAGATCTTCGTTTCAGTTCCATTTCTACGGTTCATAAAAATACAATAAATAAGCTTTTAAATGGCATCTTTCTTTTTGTCTCTTCCATTCAGAAACGACGTATAAAAAGTGTATTCCACGTTAATAGATATTCAACGACAATGTGAATTTCATCTCGAAGAAAAATTTCCAACAGTATATATTAAAAAAAAAATTAAAATCGACGCATGTAAAATGTGAAGTCGAAAATCGACTTGGACGATAAAATAATTCGCGTCCTATCTCTCTCTCTCTCTCTCTCGGAAGAAATAAGGAATCGAATGCGAATCCTATTAACTCGATCCATCGGATATCGATTCCCTCCGATATACGTCGTGTATTTCAAACGAAATACATAATGACGATTCCACGAACCGAGATGACGTAACGAGGATATTCCTCGGCCGACAAGAACAAACGTGGCCCCGATCAATGAGCTCTAATTATCGACCGATTCCAGCCCGCGATCACGTATGCGGCCGAAATTGGAGGAGCATTGTCGAACACGCGTTCTTGCATTCGACACGTGCTCCTATCATCTTTTCGCTCGAGCGGCATTGAGCGGCGACGTTGGCCGACGACGACGATGAACACCGCCTTCCGCTCCCTGTCCATCCCATTATCTCGATATTCAATAACGATCAAAGCGCCAACTCGATGGCCCCGTGGTTCTTTCGCGCGGATAAAACGATCCCAGTTTCGTCTAATTAATTTAGAATCAGATGGGATGTTTGATACACGATGGCTAGCAAAAATTTAACCAACCCAAGATTTGAATTCGATGATCGTATCGCAATCGTGGTTTGGAGAAATGGATTTTTTGAATTTGGCGAAGAGGAGGAAGCTTTTTGAAGTAAGTTATAGTTTGATTTGGTTTTGTGAAATAAATTTTGTAGAATCGCAAAATTGCGGAGGAGAAGAAATTTTCGATCAATCGTTGTGGCAAGTAAATTATTTTTCGCGTATGAATGAATTTTTTCTTTTTTTTCTTTTTTTTTGTTTCGAATATTTTTTGTAACAATTCTGTAACAATTTGGTTACGCAATAAAAAAAAATAGTCTAGTAAATTCTTCTTTTAAATGGATGAAAAAAAGACTGGAATGATTTAATGTTACAACCTGTTGCATTGTAATTTTGTAATTTACAAAATTTATATATGCGATGCGTTAAAAATAATTGAATTATTTTTCGATGGATAAAATCGTGATTGGAAATGGTTGGAAATGAAATTGAAAAATCGAAATCTCGATCGCAATTAGATTATTTAATGCAAGGTTTAATATACTACGATTAAAAGAGAAAACGGTCCACTTGTTAAAATTGTATTAAACGCAAAATTTTTTCGATTCGCTTTTGAGAGAAAACACGCGAAGAAGTATCTATGCGAAATAATGTACGTATATTATTCGCATATAATTACCATACACCGGTGTACTTCATATCAGGATATTACCGTGATTTCTGGGAAAAAACTTGACCCATATTCTTTTTAATGAATTTTTTAATGAAAAGCACGATTATGAATCGAATATAATAAAATATGAATTTTTATTATTTACACAATATTTCCATTTAAATTAAATCTATTATTAATTTTTCAGTTTAAATTTACGTAATAAATCACTTTTTTTTTATCCTTTTTCTCTTAGAAACAATAACAATAATATCGTAAAGATAATAAGATCGATATATTCTCGTTTCTATTCCCCAAATAATTCAGAATCGATTGAAACTATCGAACTTGTACAGACATCTTTCTCGGTATTTCCTTAATTGAACTATTTCCCTTATTCTACGTAATCCAATTAAACATTCGATGTTCCATAGAAAAATATCCGGGAATAAATTTGAAATTTAATTTCACTTCGAGCATTCGTCAAATTAATAAATTAAAAAATTCTCGACGCGAAAGAAAAATTGTATCCTCCGTATATATTTTCATCGTCGAATCTCCGAAAAAATAATACTAATAATTTCCAATACTCGAGTACGAAATACACGAACAATATTCCTTTCACAATTTCAAAATCCCAAGATCACGCTGTTCAAGATGATTGGTCGTTTAAACGAGTATTCGCACAGTAAATCTCTCCGTAGCAAATAGCTAAAAGCTAAAAGTCGTATTATCGTTGCACGAACCGAAAAATTGTTTCCTTTTAATAATTAGAAGCCAACGTTAAATTTTCCTTGTTAACACTCTCGATCTCTAAACCAGCGTCCAGTAATTGCTCGTAATAAATCTACTCGACGAACAAGCATCGTGAATAGGCAGTTGAGATAGGCACAATAATACGCCTAAAACTCTATTCACTTCTCTTCTCAAACGTCTCAAGTTATCTCAGGTAACAGACAATAAAATAGACCTAACAAGGCCTTAAAGTCTCTCCGCTTCGTTATTGGCTTCTCCAGCTTTCCCCTCGCCAAATAATGGACTGTAAGATCTCCACCTCGCTAATTCCATAACTTTGCCTTCAACACGCATAACAAGTAAAATAAATGTTAAACTTTTCCAAGCTTTCGCTTCCAAGCTTTATACTTTTTATAAATCCTCGACACATCGGCAATCAGGGGTCTCACAAAATGGTAGAATAATGCCACTCGTTGCATAGCACTAGATAGCGGAAAATAAGGATAGTCAATCGCGATTCGAATCTCCGTAATCACCGGCAAGATAATTATTTTAATTGCGTTCGGTTTAACGACCCCGCCTCGTCCTCGTCGCGCTTTCCGGTTTCCGCTCGCGCCTTTTTCTTTTTTTCTTTTTCTCTCCTCTCAGCCACTACGCCGGAAACGCTTTCTTTGTCGACGTATATATATATATATGTATGCTTTTTAATTACGCGAAATCAGAAAAGTGTCCCTAATTAAACGCGCATTGTCGAAACGGAGGGGCAGACCCTTTCGATGATTTTATTTATCGTGCCTTTGTTGTATCGAATGCCGAGTGAAGCGAGCTGTAATCGATATTGGCAAATGTCAACTCTGGTTATTCGAGGGAGAGGGAAGCGTTCTTTTAATTAATGCCACGGATGTGAAGTTAATTTCACACATACAGAGATGTGTGCGTGTACACGCATGCTGATGAAATTTACTTTCATTTTTTTTCTTTTTTTTTTTTTTTGAAAGATATTTAAATCAATACGAACGAGTTTTAACGTGGTGGTGGTAGTGATACGTTTATTTTTTTTTTTTTTTTTTTCCCCTTTTATCGTTTCGTTTTCAATTTTAATTTTATTCATTTGATACGCGATTAACCGAATGGGTTGTGTACCGGTTTAACAAATATTGGGGATGGGTACGAATTTCAATTTGTACTTGCGAATTAAAATAAATTCTGCTACAAGTGTTTCACTTCGTTTCGTATTTGATTGTTATTCGAAATAAATGACGCTTTATTTGTCCTTGTATTTTTTAGAATCGTAAGATTATTTCACAAATAAATTATTATTAAATTACGCGGGGGAACGTTGAAAGGAAAAAAGTTTCTCGCATTGAAAATCATCGCAGTGAAAAATATTTTTTCAAGATTAAATTTATAATTTTTTCCTTTAATTCGAATTCGAGGTAATACGTTTGAAATTGAATGACGGACTCGATCGTATCTCGTTCAACGAGATGTCACCAAAAAAAGAAAAATTTCAATTCGAATATATGCAAAAAGAGATTATCGCGAGCATTAATGATGATCTCCCCATTCCCCTCCCCCCTTGATCATAAGTATTTCTCGTATTCCCGGGAGAATCATCATCCCTCTCGAGGAGAGGTAAGCACGTATTAACGTGAAAAGGGAAAAAAAAAAAAAAAATTAACATTTCGTTCTTGAAAACTTATCGAGCCGTTAATTTTACTTAAGCCCACTCATGGATCTCTCGTTAATTGGTAGACAAGTCTCTATCTTTTCTTTACTCTTTTTACTCAAACGACTCGATCCAGTTTCGAGCTCGATTCGATACTGATATCAGGGATGGTGATTCTCTCTCTCTCTC